TTGGAAGTCATACTATAGTATGTGTCATTTTTCACCAGTTTGGAAGTCATACTATAGTATGTGTTATTTTACACCAGTTTAGAAGTCATACTATAGTATGTGTCATTTTTCACCAGTTTAGAAGTCATACTATAGTATGTGTCTTTTTTCATCAGTTTGGAAGTCATACTATAGTATGTGTCATTTTTTATCAGTATAAATGTGCCTGAGAAAAAGCTTTGACTCAAATATATTTTGGCACTTTTAAAGCGTTCCCTGTTGGGTGTATTTATATATATAGTTGTTATTTTTCACTTGTTTGGAAGTCTCTTGTTTTCTAAATGAGTAATGTCAAAAAAACACAAGTCAGTTTTGTAATACGGTAATTTTTAATGCATTACAGGACTGATACACGTAAACATTTAAATGTTCGTAGCAACCTTTTCCATTTCAAATAGTGACATCGTTAGAAAACTCTAGATGGATTGACACTCTGCACATTTGTGTCCTCTGCAGGTACTGAAATGGACTAAATGTCTCGGGAAGCAGCTGTGATGCTACAGAAGAGTCAGACCTGATGATGTTGTGGGTGAGTGATAAAAGAAACGAGTGTTTATTAGAAAGTAGAAGTTTATCAACATATTATTTCATGAATGCAGCCCGACGAGGAGAATCTGGACACTCCACTGCAGGTTGGAAGAACCTGTCCATGAAGTCGGCTTCTGCTCCTCCATGTGTGAAACGACACGTAAGTTCTGCACCTTGTCCCCACATCGAGCCGATGGTTCTGCCAGCAGCTTGGTGTTCCTAAAATGAACAGAATTCATAAATTACAAATAAATGGATCTTTCTCCAACACTCTGTCTTGCACGTTAAAACAAACTGTAGAGCTTCGTGAGTCTTACTCGTCTTTTTTGTGCATTTGAAGGTGAGACGGAATCAAACCAGCAGTCTTCATGGGGCAGCAGGACACCTGAGGGAGGAACAGAAGTTGTATGTGTCAAATGTCCACGTTGGAAACATCTAGAGCTGGGACACACATCAATACAGTTTATACTTAGAAATCCTCCTGCTGTCTTCTTTCTCCAGGAGGAGTGGAGACGTTTAGCTGCTAAACAAAAAGAAAAACAATGAGCGTTCTTTCAGACATGGTTTGGATTGAAATGGTCAGAAAGATGATTTCTGTAGACGATGCTGAAAACACGTCCGCACTACAAACAGCACAGTGGAGTATTGTGAGCTGCAGGTCTCATTTAGCCACGCTGAGCCTTTGGAGAGGCAGCGCAACATCAATAAATTAACAGTTTATCACATCGCTAACAAGTCGGCTAACGTTTTAGCCGACTTGTTCCACAGCTGAGACTGGCACCGTGTCTTAGTGATAAGATGCTGATTCATTAATGTCGCTCCTCTCAAAGCACAGCGCAGCTAAATGAGTCCTGACCCGTGGTTTGTTTCAGGGAAGGAGGCTGAGGTCTGCCGGACCTGCAGCTTCACACTCTGTTTGAAATGGATGTGTAGCGCTGACGTTTTGTCAGGACTTGTTTTCAGCTCCTCATCTAACGATTTAAATCCAAACCAGCTCGAGTGTTTATTTGTTGTGCTAAACATCTCCCGCCCCCTCCTGGAGAAGCAGGGTTTGTTGACAATTTGTTTTTTAGATAGATCTATAGATATCTATGATGGTATAGAGGCAGGGCAGCCGGCTTGGGACCCAAAAGTCCCAGGTTCGATCCCCAGTCACTGCACATCACGTGGTGTCTTTGGGCAGCACACCTCATCCCCAAAATGCCAATAGCTGCACACTACACCACCTTGTGGTGGATGGGTTAAATGCAGAGACTAATTTCGCCATTGTATGGAAACATATAGTGCTGACATTATTATCTATAGATAGATATCTAGATACATATCTATCTATATCTAGAGATATATATATATCTAGATCTAGATATATATATCTAGATCTAGATATATA